AACGTAACGACACACTATACTAGAGTAGTATAATAGTTACGTTACTATACTAACTACTACGACCACATATACACAACACTAATATTATGTACTATAATAATATATATATATATATATATATATATATATATATCTGAGAAAAAGCTGAATTTTTCACTGATTGATGTGTCATTAAACCCAAAAATTGTTTTTTTTTGCGATTCCAAAGCCATGCTAATAAAATCAAGTCCAAATACAAGGACTCAGGTGTAAAACATCATGAGTAAAATTCCTCATGACAAAATGAAGATAAGGAAGTGAATATTAGGTTTTAGAGAGGGAAAAGGGAAGAGGCACACCTGTATAAAGTAAGCAAGGTTGCAGGTCCTCGAATTTAGACAGACACTTCAGAGATCGAAAGAGAGACTCCTGCAAGGACCTCAGCTCTCTTTTATGTTTTCTAGCGGGTCCGTCGGGCTTATATTATTTATCAATCCTGTAATACATTTTTAAGCTGCGGGTGCAGGTAATAGATTTGACAATTTGGGAGGAAACTGGCTTGTTTGGTTCATGCGCAACAGATTGCACTTGTAAAACAATTTTCATATGTTAAAGGTTCCACATGCAAGAGTTTTTCAGTGCTGTTTTTTTCATGTTTGGTTCACATGACTGGGGTTTCTTACGTTTGGTAACCCATTGGTAAAAAATGAAGAAGTAATACCATCACAACCACTACATCTATTTTGATATCATTCCCACATTGGTCTAACATTTTTGTCGTGCGTAACTATGTAGCAATATCATCCTCACTTTGATGATAAGTTATGATCACTTGCACCATTTGATCAGCATGTTCTAATGTGTGTTCTCAAACCTCGACTCCTCATCAATGACAACAACTCTTGTCATCCTGATATAATTATGTTATATACACGTTGCATTGACAAAATTGACTTAAGTTTGAAACAGATAGCAAAATTGCTTATGTACGTTACCATTTTAACCTACTCACTTTTATCAAACACGGAACATCGTAACTTTCAAGTCTCGAAAGCAACTTCCTGTTATCAAACACGCCCTAAGAGATTTTTTTCTATTTGAAATATTGGGATCCATCTAATTTTAACTAGATGATTGATTTTTTTAAAAAAATTGGATCTTGAGTTCTTAAACTTCTAGATCATTCCTTTAGATATTAGATGGTTATGTTGCCATCTTAGAATGTCTTTTTTTTTTAAGCATATAGAGGGTTACAATTTCATTTTTTATCTTTAAGTTAGTTGCCAGGTTCTAGAGATCACACCCCCCAAATTTTGACATCTAAAATATACATCTAGTGTAAGTTTTACGCAAGGGAGGCAATTTAAAATTAAACCCCCAAATTTTGAGATCTAGAATATACATCTAGTGTAAGTTTTACGCAAGAGAGGCAATTTAAAATTAAGTCACTAGAGGTGTGCCATTTACTAGACTTAAAGTTCCAAATAAGATTTCTCAAACCCTTTGACAGATTACATGTTATCAAATTTGACATTTGACATCGGATGGTTGGGGATGATTGTGGCCTCAAGTTAAATACTCTTACAGTATGCATTTCCTATAATTATTTGATTACATTTAAACTAGTGTCGTACTATCCTTATGTTACCACTGTTTTAGAACTCGCTGACTTTCGGTCTGGATCATCGATTTAGATATAAATCGATAAAGACTGAACCAATTTCGAGATAGTATAGGTCCTAACCCAATTCTCCTTAAAACATGTATACACCTATTTTTATTTTTATTTTATTTATTAATATTTCTAGATCCTCAATTCAGATCCATCTGGATCATCAATCCAATGATTTGAAGCAAATCTAAGGCAAATAATCCACATCACATATCCCGGGTTTTGAAACCATTGGCGTTAGCTAGCCAAGTTCATCAAGATTCAATAAGAACACAAAAGACTGGAAAATTGTAATCCTATTAGGCTATTACAAACAGGAATTTGGACCTTATCTTTGCCAAACTAGACAACAACTTGCCTCGATAATGCCCAATCACCAGTCATGACACCAAAGGAGCTCTTTTGAGTTCAGTAAAATTAAGTTTTGGCCTAAAATCACATTAAAACTAAACTTTTTATATTAATGTGCAGGCTCAGGCTCAGACTCGCTAGGTCGAGTCCAAATAACGTGGTCCGATTCAGCTGAGGTCTGACTTGGACGGCTATTCTTTAGCAAATAAATTGCAATGTTATAAACAATTTAGTAAATAAATTAATAAATTTTGAGAATAGCCTGAGCTTTGGCAGTAGTATTGTCGAGTTCTATAGAGAGGTCTCTAATTCCATTTTCACTTAAAGGTAAGAGCTCAAATCCCCACTACCATACCACTTTAGGAAAGAGGCTAAGGTTGTGGTGGTAGCACCCCACACCATAGTCACTATGTTGTGGTTTTCAATCCTACCAATAATATCACCCTACTAACATCTTCACAAATCTAACTCCTAATCCACTTAAAAAATGGGTAGGGCATGTTTTCCCTATTGAATTACTAAAATAATAATAATAATAATAATAATTTTAAAATATTAATAAATAAATTAATTAATAACTAAATTACCAAATTATTTTAAAAAAAGAGCAGTGATTTGGGGTGAGTCATGAGGTTTTGCCTCGGGACTCACTAGGGTGCAAAGCCAGGGTGACTCGAGCTGAGTCATGAGCTGAATCAATATTTTTCAGCCACTATTCTATAAAGGAAAAAGTTTATATAAGGCCTCAACCTTATACTGTACAGGTAAGGTGCACCCACTAGTGAAGGTTGTTTTTATGCTGGAAAACCCTCAAATCGATCATTTTTACCTCGATATTCATATACCTAGAAAAGAAAAAAAGATTTATAGTCTTAAAAATAGTTCATCTTCTAATATATTATCTAGACGGTCCATTTTTAAGATTTTCAAGTGTTTATAAATCTGTTTGATCGTCACTATTTCAAAAACATTAAATTAGGGGCAACAATAGATTTGCATATCATCACAAGGCTTTACAGCACCCAAACTGCATAGTTTTGAAGCACACCTTACTTCAATAGTATAAGGTTGACACCATTGTTCGCAAAGTCGCCCGATCTAACCACTAACTACCCGGTTAGATTGGAACCGGCCACTAGCCGGCTCCGGTTTTGGGAGGTTAGGGTGATCAACCGATATTTAAAAAAAAAAAATTTCTAAAAAATATATATAAATTCTAAAAAATAAGGAATTTGATTTGTATTGTATTTTAAAATATTTTTTACATTATGGTAAAGATTAAAAATTGTTTTGGTCATTAATATTCATTTTTAAATTTTCCCATCTTTTCTAGAAAATTTTAGAACTAGCCCTTGAAAAATATAAAAATGGGTTAAAATTCATTTTTTCATTAATTTTAAACTTCATTTGAATGTGTTTTGTTTTAATCATTCTTTATATGTGTTTCATATTTTAGTATATTTTTTTGTATATTTTTTATTTTTTTCAACACTTTTTTGACTGTCTATGACTTGCCCGGTTAGAGCGGTTGACTCGGCCGTTTACCGGTGAGGCCGGTTATACCGCTTCCCGGCCCATATGTCCGATTAACCGTTATGGTTCAATTTTGTATATATTGGTTGACACCTTATACAAACCTCACCCTTCTATAAATTTGTGTATGTGGGGGTATGCGTGTGTATGAGAGAGAGTGAGAGAGAGTGAGTGAGAGAGTTTCGAACCATAGTTTCCAAGGTCACACCAGATCATCCTATTGTCAAATTGCCAACATGTGCCTTACTTTGTCTAATCTAAAGTAAAAAACTAATTTAGTCGAAAATTGTTCAAAATCAGTGTTTGACTGGTTTTTGGCCGGTTGGACCATATGATTTTGATCACTAGCTAAACAAAGTATTAAATTTTTCTAATAATATTTCATTAAAAAAAATATTATTCTTATTCTTTCATATTTTTTTAAAATATAGTCGAACCCATCGAACTAATTTTGATTAGACAAACCCTAGCCAATTCAATGACTAGCCCAATACTCATAACTATTATTTGAACCACAACCAAGAAGTACACGAGTTGTACACTCTGTAGGACCCCGGGAGCATCCACTCTATG